GAAGGAAAGGGAGAGAAGGCTAACAGGGATGAAAACAAAACATGAAAACAAAGCATACCAAAAACGAATCTTACTATTATGTGTTACTAATATTACCAAGTTTTAAAAAAGCAGTTTATTTAGGATGCTCTCTGTACTTTGCAGGGATTTCAGAGAACTGATGTGCATATTTTTTATAAGCGTGTTTTATGTTCCTTGCAGGCTTATTGGTGATGGAATTTTCTATTGTCTCCCCTTAAAAATATGACTGACCTCTGGGATTGTCCTGTAAATTTGGTGATATTCTGATTTTTGTCTTCAGTAGCATTATTTAAATGGCAGCTTCTGAAGTTTTTAATGTGGGAAGTCATCTGAAACTTCATGGATATGGTGACTCTGCAGTCTGTTTCAGCTCTCATTTTGGTGATCTACAGGGTCTTACATACGGATGAGCATCAGAGTCATCTGGAAAATTTATAAAGTATAACAGTGGGGGCTGGGGATAGAGCTCAAAGGCACAAGTGCCTGCCTGGCAAGCGCAAGGTCCTGAGTTTGATTTACAGTACCAGAAAAGAATATAACAATGAAGATACCTCATTGCCATCTTTGCCAAACTCTTACATTTTCTGTTTGAAGGTGGGGGATTGGGCATGTACTTTTAATGATACCCTCTTGCAAATACCTAGGGACTTCTATCTAAACAACCTGTTACAAATATAGTGTACCATAAGTTGGCTCAGTAAAACTAAATATTAAATAAACCATAGATTTCTCATGTATTAGGACAAATCAGTTTGAAAATAAAGATCTAATTTATAGTAATAAAAATCCAAGGAATTGACAAGAAGTATATATAAATTATGTACAGACTAATGTTCCTGAAAGTTACTAGGCAACTATTTTACTTCTCACATGGGAAGATTTTCTATCATGAAGTTGAACTTTTTCTAAATCCTTAGTTTAAAAATATCTTACTTATTAAAGATCCAGTGGTATTTTTGAGCTTGTTCATCTGCTAGAACAAATACATAACTGTTGGAGAGAAAATCTTGAAATCCTTGATAATATAGTGAGACTTAGTATCTGTTACATTAAAATCTGTATGGGACAGACCTTAAAAAGGTGCGTGTATCTGTGTGTGAATTTATGATAAAGATAACATGATACATTTCCCCACTAAATATTTGGGGAAAATACTCCTCTGCCTCATTGCAAACAAACATAAGTACCTAAATGTGAAAAAGTGAAGCCATTACTACCAAAAGAAAATTTAATCTTTGAGTTAAGGCTCAAGGAAAAATTATTTTGACTAGAATATAGTTTAAAATGTTAAAATCCATCTTAGACAAAATAGAAAGATAAGGTCAGCTTGGGAACATACTAACAGCATGTACATCAAAGGTTTAATAGCCTGTATGAAGAGCAATTATAAATCATTAAGAAAAGAGCTATCACTCTAACAGAAAAATAGGCAAAGAACACAAGTAGGTAGTTTGGAGAGAATATGACTGAACCAAAAGCTAAGTGTTGTACAGCTGTAGTCCAGGCTGCTTGGGAGGCTGAGGCAGGAGGATCATGAGTTCCAGGCCAACCTGGGCAGCATAGTGATACTTTGTCTCAAAAAAGAAAAAGGAAAAAGGATGGACCCGTAACCAGAATAACTACCACTATGTCATGCTTCCTGTGGAAGAACTGAAACCCCGGTTCCCCCAGAGTAATGGTATTTGAAGGTGGGGCCTGGCCCAGGAATTACAGATGTAAAAGTAGTAAGTAAAAACACGTGAAAGCAGGTACAGTAATTGTACTGTGTGTTCTGGAAGCTAGAGAAAGGAGTAAATATGTTTGATAGAGACAAGACACAAGAGAAGCTGATAGTGGACTAAGGTATGGATGACAGCAGGTCTCTGAGACCCTCACCTGCCAGAAGTCAGGGGAACGCCCTCTGTAAAGGAGGGAGGGGGAGACCCAGAAAACTCTGGGATTCAGAGGTGAAACAAACTGCTGGGTGCATAGAAGCAGAAGTGCTCTGTATGACATGTAACCATTATCAGAAGATATTTTTAAAAGTGTTTCAGGCAAAAGAAAAATAATTCCAGTTGGAGATTTGTGTCTACATGAAGGTTGAAGAGCAGAGGAAATAATGACTGTACTGTAAACGTGTGGTCTGTATGAGCACCTTCCCCTTAATTTTAATTTCTGTAAAGAGGCTACATTTTCAAGGACTTAATTTAGGTTTTAAAAGATCAATTTGTTTAAGTATAGAATTTATAACTTTCTGGGATTCCTGAACAGTTTTCTGGTATACTTCAAGGAAGTGGTTTTTTTTTTTTTTGTACCAGGAATCGAACTCAGGACCTTGTGCTTATCAGCCAGACACTTACGCCACTGAGCTATATCCCCGGCCCAGATCAGTTTGTTTCAAACAGAAATATATTTTGGAGTTTATAACATGTAAAATGTATGATAAACAGAAATGGAAATATACTTAGGTAGAAGAATGCCCCTCCACCCCTTGAAAAGTAATAGCCAGAGATTATCCTAGATTACCTGGGTGGGCCCTAGATAAAGTCACATATGCCCTTGTAAAAAGGAGACACACACAGAGCATATGAGAAGCTGGAGCAGGGAGAGGATTGAAGGTGCTGCCTGGAGCTGGGAGTGAAGTGGTCCAAGCCTCAGAATGTGGGCTGAGGCCAGAGCAGGAGGGGCAAACGAATATTCGATATTCGTGAGGCCTGTGGAGGGCATGCAGCACTTGCTACTCATTGATTGCAGCTAGAGGGTACTGATTTTGGACTCTGACCTCCAGGACTGTGAGAGAATACATTTTTATTGTAAGCCACTCAGTTTATGTTTTAAACAAACTCAATTTGCTGTAATTTGTTAGAGCAGCCATAGGAAACTTGTTTCTTATTGGCAAAGTAGCACAATATTTACTCAGTTAAAGTATGATAAAATTATATACTGTGAACAATAAAGCAACTACTACAAGTGCAACAAAGAATTACTGCCTGTAAACCAAACAAAGAAAATGAAATGGAATCATAAAAATAATCCAAAATAAGCCAGAAATAGGGAAAGGAGAAATAAGAGCATAAGGGACAAATAGGAAGAAAACCAGTCCAATGGTAGATCTAAACCAATTTACAGTAATACATTAAATGTAAAAGGCAAAAATTTTTCACATTAAATTAAGTCAGGCCCAGTCAGTATATATAAGCCTACATGAAGCTCATTTTGAGTAAAAATGCACAAATAAGCTAAAAGGACAAGAACAGAAGACCATAATTCCGGTAGCTGTTAGATGGAAGCCAGAGTGGCTGTACTAATCCCAGACAGAGTGGATCTCATGGCTCAGGGTGCTACCAGAGACAGGGTGGCTGTTTCCTGGTGAAGGGGATCAACTTTCAAGTGGGCATAACAGTCGTGTTTATGCCCCAACTGCAGAGCTTGAAAAATACGTGAAGAAATACATGTACCAATTCACCGTAATGAATGTAATCCCCATGATGAATATGTGCAAACATACTGATAATAAAAACTTGAAGAACAGATGAAGCTGCAAGAAGGACGTTAAAGCCAGATATTTCAGCTGCTTTCTTTTTTTTTTTTTATTTTAAAGATAAAAGGAGGGAAACATTAACAGACATACAACATTTTACAACATATCACAAGCACAGTACAGACAATACAGAGTTACAAACAAAGTGGTAGGGAATTAACAATGGTGGTTGTATTACATATTGATATCTTCAAAGTGGCTTCTCTCAGCTGCTTTCTTTAATTCAGAGAACACATAGGCCTAAAATCTGGATCCAGAGACCTGAACAATTACTCACCATGGTGATCTGCATGACAGACTAAGGACACTCCATGATGCATTCCTCACATTTTCACAGAATATCTGCCAGTGTAGGCCAGATGCTGGGCCATGAAACAAGTTAACCATGAAAGGATGCTAGCCATGCAAAGCATGTTCTCTGGTCTTAGTATCATTACAGAGAAACAATGTGGAAAAGCCCAAATGTGTGGAAAATATCTTGTTGCATATGGGTCAAAGAAGTCAAGATGGAAAATCTAAAAGAAAAGGGGACGGGGATTCAATTTCAGGGTACTTTAGATTGACATCTTGAGACACAAGTCCAGCTTTGATTTTTCAGGAATCACATGTCTCTATTACTGGGATTGTTTCTGGAGCACTCCTTGAATTACTACTTTGATGTGCATAGCCCATCAGCCTCTCTGTCTGGTGCTGGGTTTAGCTGTAGGTTGTGACAGCCCAAATAGGCTGTCAGTGTTTTTTAAACAGTTTACAGAAGGTACTCAGGCTCCAGTTTTTCTGCCTAGTGCAACACAAAGTCTGACCTTGAGGGTGCAGTGAACTATACTTTAAATCATGTTAAGAGCACGGGTAGAAAGGAGTACAGGAGCTGTAGTGTTAGACTGGTTTTCAAGGCTCTGAAGTAAAAGTAACCTTTTCTCAGAGAGCTAGCTGGGATTTACGTATCTAAAGCAGTGTCTTTTAAAATTTTTTTAATTAGAAGTTTAAAAAATGAGATTTGTCTTGCAAATCTCTTGTCTTATTTTAGGATAGTTTTAGATTTATAGAAAACTTCTGAAAGTTTAAAAAGGTGGCATATACCCCATGTCCAGTTATCCCTATTAGCATCTTACATTAGTGTGGTCCATTTTTCACAATTAATGAATTAATATTAACTGTTAACTAAAACTGAGCTTTATTCAGACTTTTTTTGTGACAGGGTCTCACCGTATAGTTCAAACTGGGCTTGAACTATGTTTCCTAGGCGGGTCTCGAACCTGTGGCAGTCCTGCTGCCTCAGCCTCCTGAGTGCTGGGAATACAGGTGTGCACCACACCTGGATAGATTTCCTTAATTTTTACATATGTCCCTTTCTTGTTTCAGAATCTCATCCAAGATACTGCACACATTATTACAGTTTCTTGTCATGTCTCCTTAGGCTCCTGTTGATAATAATAGTTTCTCTTCTTTCTTTACTTAGAAATTCTCCAGAATTTCAGAAACTCCTGGGCATTGCCATGGAACTTTTCCTGCTGTGCAGTGATGATGCAGAGTCAGATGTCAGAATGGTGGCTGACGAATGCCTCAACAAAGTTATCAAAGTAAGGACCCTGTGGGCTCTGTCTACCTCTGAGTTGTAGTCATTGCACGTGGGTAGAGCCACCTCTGGCCAGTGTTCTTTTTTTTGGAGTGGTGTGGCCAGAGGCTGCCTGCAGCCTTCCTTCTTGAGCATGTAATTTAGGTACCCAGGTACAAGCCTGGGAAGGAGGTATTTCCCTGGTGCCTGCAGTATAGGATCAGAGAGAGCTCTGAGGTGGCCATTACTTGCTCTCAGGAGAAATGCACTCCTTTGGTAAGAATAGCCTGGAGAGCCACAGAGCCCTGAGAAAGCAGTGGAGTGGGCATGAAGCCTGGCTTTGGTGTCTGCTTCCCCTGTCCCTTGTGAAATTTAGGTAAGGCTTTGAGCAAAGGCACCATCTTGTCCCTTTCCTTAAAGGCTGTCTTTCTAGTTATACTCACTTGCCTGGGGGAACCAAGAATTCCATCTACTAAAGGTTAGGTTGGCCATTTCCCTTCCCCATTAGTCTTAGGACAGAGCTGTCCTATGGTCTCTTACCAAAGCTTTGCTTTGTGGAGTGTCAGATCTTACTTAGGCCAAGCAGTAAACCTCCCTTTCCTTCGTGCGTCCAACCTCCTCAGGAAGGGAGTCATCCTGTTGCTCCTATGACTGAGGAAGTTTAGAATTGTACTAGACTTCATTGCTGGGACAAAGTACCTGGTACATACAGTTTAAAGGAGAAAAGATTTATTATGGCTCACAGTTTTAGAGAGTTCAGTCCATGGTTAGCTGGTTCCAAGGCAGAAAACCCTGGTGGAAGGATGTGGTCAAAGCTGTTCAGTTCACAGCGGCTGCAAATAGCCAGAGAGGAAAGAACCCCCACGGTCACACCTGCATGGCCCACCTAGACACACCTAGAAGTGTTTCTTAATCCAGCCAAGTAGACAGTCACAGTTAAAGGATATAAGAATCATTGATAGGTAGAATGAGTTGGGAGATCTGTGTTAGACTTTTCCTTCTGTACTTGTCAACTGAACAACTTTGGAAATGTACTTAATTTCTTTGAGACTCTGTTTTCTTGACTATGAAATGGGACCAGTTTTTATTGGGCGTGTATGTTTGTGTGGGCATTGCCACATCCTGAGTCCTCAGGCTGGTAAGAAGTATTCTTACTAGTAATATAGTTCTTACGCTCTTGCTTAGTGAGGTAAAGGGGGATGGTGTGACTGTGCACTAGCTGTTTTCCATTTTCTGTTACATGTGTCCAAGGAGCCCTGTTGCCCAGGGGATCTGGTCTCTGGGCCACTATGCTTCTTGTGTTTAGGACTTTCCTATAGCCCCAGTGTCCTCCTCCCTCTGCCCTCTCCAGGGCAGTCATTGTACCTTCCCTGCACCTGAATTTGTGCCCAATGCTTTCCTGCTGCATCCCATAGTAGCTTGATGGCAGGGTCAGTGTCACCAGCTCTGTGTGCCTGGGACACTGGTGACGCCTACACAGTGTTATCCCACAGTGTATTTGCAGATGGCCTGTTTCAGTACTACCTTCTGGGCCTGGATATTCTTGCTTATCTTTATTATTTCGACTGGCAGGACCAGGTGGGCTTTCTCTGAAATTTAAATTCTCTTGAAAAGTCTTCATATTTTTTTGGTTCTGGGGATCAAACCCAAGGGCCTCAAGCATGCTAAGCATACATTTTTCCACTGAGCTGCATCTCCAGCTAGATGCAGAGGTAATCATGGATTTCCTTGTGCATAGCAAGTGAGGGATCAGGAGGAACAGATAGAGCAGTATGACCCTAGACCCTCTGATACTAATCATTTTGTATTTGAAGCTTGCCTTCCCCAGACTTTCCTGGAATTGCTGGGCAGTGGCTGGGTCCATGTTTGGAGGCCGTATACCATGGCTGTGTGTTGCAGCTGTAGGCCCAGGTTCTCTTGCTGCCCAACTCTCTGTTTCTTGCTAGTTCCTCTTCTGTTTGCAGTCTCCAAGGGCAGAAATGCCAGCTTCTTGTAGTACGCTCATGAACGTAAGATAATCTCTCTTTTTCTCTTCTACTTAGAATTGGTGTAAGGATATTTGCTGTGCTCAGATTTCTGCCTCCTACTGCTGTAGTCATCAGGTTCAGTGGGCGGGGAGTAGTATCAGGATCCAGCTAGGTTTGCCCTTCTAGTGGTAGAGGAAGGGCAGGCTGGGATCCCCTGAGTGCAACCTCAGCCTCCTGGCTCTACAGTCGTCTCAGGGATTGCCTCAGCTGGAGTCATCTGTGGACTGTTAGGGAAGATGGGAGGTTTCCTTTTTTTTTTTTTTTTTTTTAATGGGAGGTTTCCTGTGAGAGCTTTAGAATTAATTTTAATTTTGATGTTGTATAGCATTTACCATGAAATTTAAATTCTTTGACTTTCATTGTTTTCTTCAGGAGAGCAATCTGCATCTAATGTGTTCAGTAATTTCTGCATACATTTGCTTTTCTCTTAATGAACAGCTACCTAATTTAGTTGCAATTATGTTTTAGTTTGCCTCAAACTGAAGTTTTGGTCACCTTTTAGTTTTCTTTAGGACTGCAGGAGGAATATATTGCCCATAAACAAATCTCTTATACTTCCCTGTAGGCTTTGATGGATTCCAACCTTCCAAGGCTCCAGTTAGAGCTCTACAAGGAAATTAAGAAGGTAGGCATTCACTTTCCATTGCATTGTAGTGAGCAGTATGTGTAAAACTGTATCTTTTAGTTAAAAAGTAAAACTGTGAGAAGGAAATGCTGTTTGGTAATGTAGACTTAATTGATTTACTTTGCTTCAAGAGGTTACTTTTCATTAGATGAGACTGAAGTTTAAAAGTGGCAACCTAAGTTTTTTATAACTTTATATGAAGCCCACTGGACCTTAAAAAAATCTCTAAAGTAGTTCCCAGATGTTTCATACATTTAACTGGCTTTTTCTCTAAAAGCAGAAAGTAACAGTAAGAAAATCTTTTGTTCCTATGCAACCTCTTGGTGATGGTCACATGTGCTCTTTTTGTGACAATCACATGTGCTCCTAACGGGACACTTTGCTGTTTTAACCCACTCAGAATGGTGCCCCTCGAAGTTTGCGCGCTGCCCTGTGGAGGTTTGCTGAACTGGCTCACCTGGTTCGGCCTCAAAAGTGCAGGTAAGTTGTCCCTTTGGGCTACTTCATCGTTAGTTTTGGTGGCCACTCCTGGTGATCCATTCCATCTCAGCTCGTGTCCCTTCTTCAGTCTTCCCAAACTCCTGCCTAAAGTCAGCCACCTCTGCCCTTCCACACTTGCGCTTGACATTGCATGCTTACATTTCCTTTCTAGTGCTTGCCCTGTCAGCAGTATTCTTGTGCACTTCATTAGTGTATGCTTTTTGTCCCATCCTCCAAGAGAGAGACTTATGGAATGTGGATCCCTGAGCAGCAGGGGCCTTGCTGTCTTACTCTGTGCTGCAACCCCAAGTAATCAGCAGCCCTAATACCACCAGTTGTAGAAGTCACAGAAAAACAGGCATTTGTTTATTATATTGGCTGAAAAGGTGAATGTTGAACTGTGCATAAAGTTTTGACTAGTTGAAATAGATCATAGTGGATTTTTTGTTTTGTTTTGTTTTTCTCCGGTACCGGGAACCGAACTCACGACCTTGCGCTTGCCAGGCAGGCGCTTTTGCCGCTGAGCTAAATCCCCAGCCCCTGATCATAGTGGATTAAAAATGATGTGAGACTGTAGTTTTCATCTGCTCCTTCCTTCTCTCAAACTGGTACAATGTGCCCATCTCCTGGAGACCCTCAGCTCTCTCCCTGAGAAGCTGGTAGATAGAAGAGCCTAAACCCTCACTGTTCATGTGTAATAGCAATATATTCCACTGAGGTTGAGTTTGAATAAGCATCCTTTATGGTTGTAGGGGTATGGGGGCCAGGGATATAGCTCAGTGGAATAAGCACCTGCCTGGCAAGCACAAGGTCCTGAGTTCAATTCCCGGTACCAAAAAAACAAACAAAACAAAACAAACAAACAAACAAAAACTGGTTGTAGGGGTACAGTGATTAAGGAAATTTCCTTTTATAAACCCTTGCCTTTTATTGTCTTTCTATTTATGCATGTATGTGTGTTGAGAATTGAACTCAAGGCCTCAGTTACCCTTTGCCAACCCAACTCTCCTTATTTTGAAAAATTTGTTATATTTCTGAAGCAACACAGCCCAGGTTCACCACATAACAGCTGAAGTGACCTCATATAATACAATTATCTTGCCATTCCCTTACTTAGCGTCTTTTACTCTTCCCCTAGCAGCATCCAGATGCGGTCCAGACCCTCACCCAGGCCCCCTGGACTCTTCACTGTGGACACAGTGTGTTGACTCAAACAAGTCAGGTCTCCTGTGGCTGGCTCATATTTCCCCTCAAGTCTCACCAAAAAAAGGTTCCCTCCTTCGAGAGGCCTATGGCTTCCCTGTTCACATATTCCCAGCTGGCTCTGGGCTTTGCATCAGGAAGTCATCTGTGCCATCAGTAACCTTGAATGCTTCCTGTCTTGGTCACCTGAGAGCAGAGGCTGGGCCCGCCAGGCCAGGGTTCAGTCACTGCTTGTTCAATATGTGTCTGTTTCTTCCCTAGAGGTCCAGGTTGCAGCTTGAAGGCTTCGATTGGTTTGAACACTTTTTCTAGTTTATAGTGCTCCTTTAAAAGGAAAGATATATTCACATTAAAAAACTTTGTTTTTAGAGTACTATTTTCTCATATTACCTATGGTTTCCAATTAAAAATGAGAATTTTAATACCTGTTTGTTTTTTTTTTTTCTTAATACCTCTTATAGAGGTATTAAATAGATTTTGAGCCAAGCTGCAAAGAGTCCTCTGTGACTGGGAGAGGTGAAGAACAGTTGAACTTCATCTGTGTCTAGTCCTGCTGGTGTTTTAGCTGAGCACTGTCAGTCTGCTTTAAGGGCCTGGCTTTCCTCTCTCAGTGAGCCATTGCTTATATTCTTGTTAGAGAACTTGCAAAATGCCAAGAATTCTTTTGCATACAGGCCTTACCTGGTGAACCTTCTGCCATGCCTGACACGAACATGCAAGAGACCTGAGGAATCTGTCCAGGAGACCTTGGCTGCAGCTGTTCCCAAAATTATGGCTTCTTTTGGCAACTTTGCAAATGACAATGAAATTAAGGTATGATTGCTACCTCTGGCCACAGTTGTATGATTGATGCTGTGCACGAGTCTTGTGGGTTCAGTCTCCTGGCTGCAGTCACTTTTTGCATGTATTGTGCTTCGTAATTTAGACCCCCATCATCTGCATCTCTTGAGCAGTTTCTTTCTACTTCTGCCTTCTTGTCACTGGGGAAGAGTTCAGTGGTGAGGTGATTTAGAGAGTCCCATTCAGACAGCATTGTTCTAGAACTGATTGTCTTTGGTGTACGGGACTGGCCCCTTCACATAGCCGAGGAGGAAACCTCACGTAGGAGACCTCATGGGAGCCTTGTGGGTGTGAGTGCCCTGTATTCACAGGGCCGTGAAGCAGTTCATGGCCCCCTGCAAAGTTGCTTTAGTGGGTTTTTTATGATGTGCAGAAATTGCAACTCTGTCACATAGTCTGCAGTGTGGAGGATTCTTGGCCTCTTTGTTTTTTATGGCTCTGGCCTGTGCTCCTGAGAGGCCATGAGTGCAGTGGTGAGAGTCCTCTCTTATGGAGCTAGGTGCACGTAGACTAGAGGTCTGTCTTTTTGCTAGCTCTTTCCCTTTGGGCCAGTTGCCTAATAGCTCTTAGCTTGTTTCTTTCCTGTTCTTAAAATGGAATGTGAAGGGTTCCCACAGAGGGCTCTTCTGTTCTGCCTTAGGCATATGATCTTGGATATTTAGCCTTTTATGTTTTTACTCTAAGCTTCAAAGTTTTCTTAATATAAAGATGATAGTAAAACCCATTTCTTTTTTTTTTTTTTTTTTTTTTTTTTGGTTTTTCTCCGGTACTGGGAACCGAACTCACGACCTTGCGCTTGCCAGGCAGGCGCTTTTTGCCACTGAGCTAAATCCCCAGCCCCGTAAAACCCAATTTCATGAGGCTTGGGATGGTGAAAGGAGATCATGACTCTAAAAATTTGAGTGTGGTAACTAAAGCCTTCTGTTCAGGGGTTGGGGTCATTGCCACTCTTAGATTTACTCTTTGAAGTGGGGACTGCTGCCCCTGGCCTGCAGAACAGAAGAGGTGTGCCTGCTGCATAGTGGGTCTGTAATACCCTCTGCCTGGCAGGGACTGGAGACCAGGCAGATGGTAGATACTAATTTTTTTCTTTCAGTCCTGGGAACCAAACCCAGGGATGCTTTACAATTGAGGCATACCACAGCCCTTTTTATTTTGAGACAGGGTCTCCCTAAGTTACTCAAACTGGCCTCGAACTTGCGATCCTTCATCTCAGCCTCATGAATAGCTGAGATGATGGGCAAGTGTCACTGCATCTGGTGAAAGATAGTGGGTTTTTTCTTTTTGTGTGGTCCTGGGGATTGAACCCAAGCCTCTGCACTGAGCTATATCCCCAGCCCTTTTTAAAATTTTGAGATAGGGTCTTGCTAGTCCCTAAACTTCCCAGGTTAGGCTTGAGCTTGCAATTTCCCTGCCTCAGACTATTAGAGCAAATCACTTTTTGTAGTTTCAGTTCTGGTCATTACCTTTTTTTCTTCTTCTTTTGTATAGAGTAGCCACTAATTATCTCCTTCTAGAACTTTTGGCATTTCTGTCCTTTGGTGTTTATTTAAATTTATTGGCATCTCTGTCCGTTTATGTTTATTCAAATTTATTATCAGTAAAATTCAGGAGTACTAAAAGCATTATCAACAAAAATAGTAGCCTTTCTCTTCTCCTAATCCTTGTCTCATGGGCACATGCAGCTCTTAATGTTTCACATTTCTAAATAACATGCTTAGACTTCTATTTTTGAACTTCTGTATTTTAGACATTTTATAGTGGAAGAGATGAATCTACCTTTAACTTTTCTCCTATCTTTTCACTGTAGATAGATCAGTATTCAGTGTGAACTACTCATGCCTCAGCTTCTGGAGTTGTTAGGATTATGGATGTGTGCTACCATGCCTGTTTGTGTGTATATTACTGCATGAAGTCACACTAGTTACGTAGGAGTATATTCCTTTGTATGCCTGTAATTCCAGCAATTGCGAGGCTGAGGCAGGGAGAGGGCTACTTGTACTACATAGTTTAAGGCCAACATGAACTACATAGTGAGACCCTGTCCAAAAAAAGTCTTTCAGAAGGGAAAAGATACATAAATCATTAAACTTGAGAGTCAAGAGTACTGTAGAGATGAAAATGGACACTGAAACCTTAATGTGATACCAGAACACACTTCAGAATGGCCAGAACTCAAAGGAATGACAATTCTAAGTATTAGTGAGGATGCAGAGGGTTGGAATTCAGCATGTACCACTAACAGAGTGTCACCTAGTGTGACCCCACAGGAGGTGACCAGGCAGCATGTGCTGAAGCTGAGACAAATGGACTCTGCAACCCCTGCAGTCCATCTGTAGGGGCCCGCAACAGGCATGGTATTGAGTTCCAGCCACCACTGGTCACAAAAGGCAGAAACTGTAAATGACCCGAGTGTCCAGCTACAATAAACTAAACTAAGACATATCACCCAGTGGAATGATCTACAGCTAGGAAAACTGTTTGCACTGCTAAGACACAGTAAGATGGAAGACTCTACCAAGCTAATGTTGTGTAAAAGATATCACACCAAAAATAATACCTACTAGATGGTTCTAAACACAGAGAACTGAAAAACAGGCTCTCTGTGTCCTTAGAAGACAGGATCCTTCCTATCTCTGGGGAGGAAGGAGGCAGTGGTTACAGGGGAGTGCACAGGGCCCTGGGGGTGGGGAGGGCAGGTGAGATTCTGTCTCTTGAGCTGGTTGGTGGGCACAAGGGTGAATCCACTTTGTGATTACTCAGCAAGACTGCACTTACCATCTATGTATCATCCTGTTTGTATACTGTATACTCAGTGGGGGAAAAAAATCAAATAAAAAGCCAGGAGTCTGAGTATTTGGCAGGTAATCCTGAGGACACAACTGCACTACAGGTTAGGAGATATCTGATCCAATCTGAACCTCTGCTACCTAGGAACCCTACAAGAATCAAGCAAAAAGGTTTGTGAAAGCATACACCTATGAGAACAGAAAGAACAGGGCAGGGATACCAGCAGACCACAGGTGCCAACAGAATTTTGGAAGGCAGAAAGGAAAAATTGGTCACTGACTGACCCAACCCACAGGAAGAAGGTCAAACACAGCTTTGCTGGAGCTAGGCAGAAGGTATGAAGGCCCCCAGAAAAACCAAGTGCATTCAAGCCAAAACACTAAGTGAGGCCCAGCTTCTAAGACAACAGACGTATGCGAAAGTGGAGGAGAGTGGCTGAAACTGCTGCTGCCTAAGGCCCTGTCCCAGCTCCAGACACTTGGCCCAATCAGCACAAGCAGCAGCTCTCCTTACCTGTCACCTGTAAAGACGAGGAGGGATAATCTCAAGTAGTTGCACATCCGAGAGCAGGCAGGAGACAATACGGAGAGCAGGCAATGCCTCTTGACTGGTCTTGCCGGGAGCCCTGCCTCCTGGGTTGCTGGGATTACAGGGGTGGACCACCATACCTACTTTTAATTTACTTTTTCAGTTATGCCTGTGTGTGTGTTTTTAGGGGGTTCTTGAAGGTGCTGATAGCTTTTCTCATAGCTGTTATGTTTGTTAGACATAAATTGGCTGGATTCTCTGGGTGGTATCCTGGAACCTCAGGTCCCTTGCTTGGGATAAGTCTTCTGTTCTCCTGGTTCCAATCTAGTCTGTAGAATCAGTGAACCCCACTAAACCTCAAACAATAGTTTATGCAGCCCCACTTGGGAGCAGAGAGATCTGGCACTCAGATGCTAGTTGATGAGTATGTTTTGGCCTCCCGGTGAGTAATACTCCATAGGTGCCTGCCTGCTTCTGGCATCCGAGCATGGGTTAGTGTGATGGCAGTGGATATTTATTGATTCACAGTGCTCAGGGGTTGATTCCAGGGCCCCACACACTCTAGATATGCTACCACTAAGCTACACCTCCAGTCCTGGGAATGGATGTTGTTAAGGGACGGTCACATCCGAATGTGGCTAGCTGGCCTCCCCTTTTTATCCTTTGGGTAGTTTAAATAATTAAGACCTAAAAGGCCACCATTGGAGTTACAGTGCCTTCTCCTTGAGGTCATTCTGGGGTCCATTGAGCACCTTTTGGCTCTGATCTCATAGGGAACAGAGTTGTGCTGTCACATCCCCCTGCAGACGGTCCTGAGCACATTTCAGTGACACTAGCAGCACTCACCCAGGCGTCTCTTGGGCGGGAACATTACTGTAGGTACTCTTTCCTTTACGTTAGTATTTGTTGATAGGGTCATTTTGCACAGTGACATTACTGACCTGGCCCTGGGCCACGTGGATGAAGCTTCTCTGGCAGCTGAATACTCCCGCTCAGAGGGAGGGTGTCAGTGCTGTGTGGAGTCCTTAGTGTGGTTGATAAATGAGGAAACAGACCACGTGTTTATATAGACTTTCCTGACTATCCCAGGTTTGGGATTCTTCCAGTCAGCTATAGGAAAGTCTTCATTATTTGTAATTTATATTCCACAAAAATTTAAACTTCTTAATCCTTGTTTTGTTCTTTGTCTTTTTTTTTTTTTTTTTAATTTTTAAAACAAGATCATGCATCCTACATAGTCCATGCTAACTTTGATCTTGCAATCCTCCTGCTTCAGCCTCCTAAGTGCTGGGATTGCAAGCAGGCACCACTATGCCTGACTTTTTATGTGTGTGCTGTGGATCAAGTCCATGGTAAAGCTAGGCAAGTGCTCTCCCATGGAGCTGCATCCTCAGTTCCAGAGCTTCTAACTCAAGTCCACTTGTACAAAACATGATAACCCTCACAGCAGCCTCATCTTCCGTCTGCTTGGATTTCGGCTTTTCCAGGTTCTGTTGAAGGCGTTCATAGCGAATCTGAAGTCGAGCTCCCCTACAGTCCGGCGGACGGCAGCTGGCTCAGCAGTGAGCATCTGCCAGCACTCCAGGAGGACGCAGTACTTTTACAGCTGGCTGCTCAATGTACTGCTAGGTAAGGCGGGGGTCTATGTAGGTCCCTCTCCAGCACTTCTAGGGACACACCTTCAGAAAGTTGGATATACTAGCTGATCTCCAGACCTGGTCCTTGCTCTAGACTGCTGGCAAGTGTGAGTTACACTGGGGCTGCTGTGAGCCCACAGGAGGTCTGTGATGCTGCAGATGCTACAGTGCTCATGGCGTCTACTGGGCAGCAGGTTTAGGGCAGTGTGTAGCCTGACCCTCCGTCCTTGTAAGTCTTCTGCTGACAGTTTCTTCTATGGTTCTGGTGACTAGAAACCATTTCTGATAGTGCTGGACTGAGCAGGTGGACTTTGGTATAAAATAACTGCCTGACTTAAGTGCAGTCACTCTCTGTGGGGGCCTGCTATGCTGAGCCACTCCTGGATCTGGCTACCCAGCTTGTTCTTCCAGTCACATTTGTGCTATCTTTGTCCTTCACACCATCCTTAGCGGAGAGTGGTCCTGTAGGTATCTTGTTTTTAAAAGTGCCTTGTGAACCTCTGAGCAGCAGATCAGCCGTTGAAAAGTCGTGTGGCTGCCTGTGTAGGTCTGCTGGTTCCGGTGGAGGAAGAACACCCCACACTCCTGATCCTTGGGGTGCTGCTCACGCTGAGGTATCTGGTGCCCTTGCTGCAGCAGCAGGTCAAGGACACGAGCCTGAAAGGCAGCTTTGGAGTGACACGGAAAGAGATGGAAGTCTCTCCGTCTGCAGAACAGCTGGTCCAGGTAGGAGCACAGGTTAATAGCTCAGCTCTGTCTTTAAACCATGGATGCTAAATTAACCTGTGTGAGAAGTGGCAGAGTTGAGCATAAGCAGCGTGGGCTCTGGAGCCTGACTGCGTGGCTGGTGAGCTCTACCTGCCCACTTCATTGGGAGAATACTGAAGATGCTGAGGGAGTTGCGTGCATCCCTCAGACTCACCTGGGACGGGTCGTGAAAGGTGCTCACACACTCAGGAAGTACTGATGGAGCACCACCCCATCAAGCACAGCAGTGGTCCCGAGGGGACAGCAGTGGGCATGGCCCACCCTCGCACACTGGTCTGGGCAAGGTGTGCATGGAATGGGAACACTGGTAGCCTGGCAGATGTGAATGTCCTTTGCACATATACTTTTGAAAACAGTTGTTTGAAGATGTATTCCAGCAAAATGAGACATAAATTCAGTAAGAGCGGAAGTCCTAAAATCCAAGGAAAAAGGATCTTACCTAGGATTGTGCTCAGAGCAATTGCCATAGTTGTTGTCCAGCTTGCAGCTGAGATGAGGTGTGCCAGGCCAGCATCCTACAGCAGTGTGGCAACAGGAGGCTGGGAGAAGCAAAGGCATGTGTGGGTAGTGCCGGAAAGGAATGAGTAGCATAGGAAAACCAGCAAATGTAAAAGAGAACCTCACTGGTAGTCCAATAATGAAGCCAGAGAAGATAGACAATAAGTAATAAACTATAAAAAGACAATCTATTTGACTGTTAACCTGGGAATATCCTATTTCAGCAACACACAGTAATAATGAAATATTTTGTTTTGAGCTTTCAGATTAATACGCTTTTAATGATATTTATTTAAATGATATTTATTTACATGACACAAGATATGTACTATTTATTTATTTACTTTACAGTGCTGGAGCTTGAACCTGGAGTCTCTGAACTGAGCTGCATCCCCAGCCCTTTTTTACTTTTTATTTTGAGAGAGGGTTTGGCTAAGTTGCTAGGTTGCCAAGGCTCGACTTGAACCTGTGACCCTCCTACTTCAGCCTCCCAAAGTGCAGGGTTCACAGGTGTGAGCCACCAAGCGTGGCCATACTGCTAAAATTTTTTTTAGGCTCGACTTTTAGGCAGATCAGATTTAAATAATGTTACCAGGTAGCGTGTAAATGTGGTAAATCTGGACAATAGCAGCTGACAGGTTATCAGGGGCAGAGGAGGGGAAGGCAGCTTGGGCTCTGGATTCCTCTTTGCCCAGAGAGGCCACTTGATACAGATGGATGGCTTCAGAATTGAATGAGAGCCGCTTACCTAAAGTAGTGTTTTCCATCAGGGGCCAGAGTAAATTTTTTAAGCTTTGCAGGCCCCACCACCTTGGTCAAATTTACTTAACAACAGCCTTGTATCACAGTAGCGGCCACAGACAGTCCACAGGTGGGTTGTGTCCCAGGGAAACTATGCACAAAAACAAGCACGGGCCAGATGTGGCCTGTGACTGCAGTTTGCCAGCCTCTGATTTAGGTGTTAGGGAGCTTGCAGTCAGAAGTGCTTAAAAACTATGATTAAAGGTAGCCCTCTGGGAGACGATGACATTTTGCTTGAATTTTTTTTTTTTTTTTTTTGTACTGGGAATCAAACTCAGGACCTTGCACTTGGCAGGCAGGTGCTTGTGCCACTGAGCTATATCCTCAGCCCTAAGACTATGACATTTTATTTCATACTTCTCTACATTGACTTTTAAAAAAGAAATTATATATTTTATTATAGTAAAGGTAGGATTGGCAAACTTAACAAACAAAAATACTTGTGAAATTTAACTTTTAGATATAGTGATTTTTTTTTTCCCAAACTGCAAGGGACATAGTTTTTGTTGTTGTTGTTGTTGTTTTCTGATACCGGGAATCAAACTCACAATCTTGTGCTTGCCAGGCAGGCGCTGTGCCGCTGAGCTAAATCCCCAGCCCCTGCAAGGGACATACCTAAACTACAAAATTATATGTTGTTTGTCTGAAATTGAAATTTAATTGAGCACCCTGTGACATATCCAGCAGCTCTAATATGAGAAGGAATAAATTCATCTTGTGCATACAATATGATACAGTACTAGGAGCACTGATAAGATTTGATGCAAGATGCCTTTAACATTTCTTGCAGCTCTTTGTCATGACGCTTGCAAGCTGTTTTAGATTGTTGGGAGCATCCACCCACCTTCACCGTGGTGTCTGCTGGACTTGCTCCCTTTCTTACTGACCAGTTTTGAGAAGTGCAGACCTGAATTAGCATGCTGCTGCTTGAGGGGAAGGGCTCTGTTGATTTCTAAGGCTCAGTATACCAGGAAAGCATCACAGGTGTCTAGAACCCATGTACACTTAGACTGCACTGGCAGAAGTGATGGTGTTTAGAGGGAGAATTAGAGTGCAGACTTTGCTAATAAAGACCTATAAAAAAGTGAAACCCGGGAGACATTTCTAAAACTGAAACTGAACATTTGCCCTTTTTTCCTGTCTCTTTCTAGGTTTATGAACTGACCTTGCATCACACGCAACACCAAGACCACAACGTGGTGACCGGCGCGCTGGAGCTTTTGCAGCAGCTCTTCCGCACACCCCCGCCTGAGCTCTTACAGGTGCTGACCACTCCGGGGGGCCTGGCTCAGCTCTCCGCCACTCAGGAGGAGGCCCAGGGCCGGAGTCGCAGCGGGAGCATTGTGGAGCTTCTAGGTGTGTTCTCAGTGGACTCTGCGCATAACCACGTGTGTGGTCACTTGGGCCCCTCATTCCCTGGGGGGCTGTGCTGTGCTGAGCTGCTGCACCAAGCTACCTGCCTAGACATACAGTGCAGATCTCAGGATATCAGCTACCAGAATGAGGCCAGATGCTGCCCAACTGGCGTCCTGCTCTGACTACACTGTTCCCTACCTGGCATTTAGGTGTTATAAAATGAAAATAAGAGGGTCTTTCCAGGACTTCTGTGTTAATTTGCCTGAGATGGGATCTTGAAGCCTTTGTCTGGGTTTCCCAGCACCCCACCCTCCACCCCTGGTAAATACCTCCTAGTCTAGTCTATGTGCTCCTCCATATTTGTAGGAATTGGGCTCTGATTCCACAAGGGGCTGCTCAGGCAGCTGAGTCTGTTGACAAGAGGCCTCCTTGGGAAAAGGGACAGATGAAAACCTGTGGATCCTAGCCTCCAAAATTGGCCTGGTGCACAGCAGGTTTGAGGAGCGTCTGCTGGCCTGGGCCTCCCTGTGGTTGCAGGGGCCCAGGGCGGAAAAGGGAGTAGTGTGTATTGTGATGGGGCCTCTGTTCACTGTGTTGATAACTGGAGAGAATTTACTGGATGTCTGACTGCTGTCTCAGGGCCACATGTTTGATGCATGGGCAGAGACGTTAATATGCCCTGCCTGCCCTCCTTTGCCCTGCGGAATCCTTTCTTTGTGGACTGTGTGTCTTTATGTGTTCATCTCTAATGATTGGTCCCAATGAGTATGTCTGCTTGATTATTAGTTGATCAAATAATCTGAGATCTCTATTTTTAATTTGGCTGTTAAAATGCAGTTTATTATAATTCTTTTGGCATTTTAATTGTATCTTCAAAAGTACATATTTGAATGTTAATGTAATTTTCACATTGAAATTAAAAGATGTTGCACTATGCCATTTACTTCCTATGGAAATATGTTGACATTTTCCCTAGTTTTAAAGTTGGATTAAGCTTTTTGAAGATGTTCAGATTTCTTCTGATTTTAACAGCTTGTTACCTTCATTTGATCTGTCACTTTCTATGGTTTACAGCTGGAGGGGGTTCTTCTTGCAGTCCTGTCCTTCCAAGAAAACAAAAAGGTGATTATGTTTGAAATCTGCATCTTGTGTTGAATCAAACTGCTTTTTCTGTGTTTCTCTTATGCTCTGGACTGTCTGTATCTCTTTCCGAAATGTGACTGTATGGGTGAATATTGCTGGAAACTGATAAGTAGGCCTGAAGTTATGTAGGGTAACTTTTTAAAAAATCGCTTCTGTATCTTAATTTGCCTTGTCATAGATTTCTAATGCTTTCTGTCAGAGGTCAGCAGACTTTTCTCATGAAGGGCCACAGAGTAAATACTTTAGCATATGGGCCACATGGTCTTTTTTTTTTTGCAACTATTCCGCTTAGCCTTGTTGCTGGAAAGCGGCTGTAGACAGTCTGTGAGATCTGGGTCTGTCTATGTTCCAACAAAACTTCAGTCACAGACACAAGTGGGATTACTTCTGCATAAGGGTAATGTACCTTCCTAAAGATTTGTGTTAAGTCAGGATTATTAGTATTAAGTAGCTTCTTTTGTGAATTTAATTTAGCCCTGGTTATCATTTTTCAGTCATATTTGATTGTTCATATCAAAGGCTACCGTTAATTTATGTGTATTAAGGTGTTTCTGATAGATATTCCTCATTTAACGACCTACCAGTTTAACAGCTGTTTGGACTTAGTTATGACTGAGGTATGCTGTTCGGAGTTACCACCTGCTGTTTGAACTTACAAGCTTTTTTTGTTGTTGTTTGGTTTTGTTATTGAGCCTCAGTGTCCTTTTTTTGTACAGCACCCCTTGTTTATACAGTACTATGATTGTTGCTGATGGTCCTGTACAGTACAGTACTATAGTTTTATGTTCTTTTATATATTACATACTGCATTGAGTTATGCAAATCAAAGGAAAGTGTTCAAGTTGGAGTTTCCTTGGACCTTTTCTTTGTTCTGAATATTATAATGTACATACTATACACAACTCTTCATTTAGCACCCAATTCACTTAATGACTTACTGGAAGAAACAGAATACAGTTATTAAATAGGAGTGTCTGTGACCTGATACTTTTCCTTCATAGTATCACTTTGTATCACCAATTATTTTCTTTTCCATTGTGAATTTCCTTAGAAAACAATTACTGGTAATTCGTTTGAAAATCTTAAAAGACTCATCCTTTTTTGTATCATAATTTGAATGTGTAAAGTGTTGAATGGGATCTTAACAGGGATACCATTCTTGTCTTTACGAAGGAGGTAAGCATTTCCTGGAAGAACTTAGATCAGTAGCATTTGTAAGATGGGTGTGATGACATACATCTGTAGTCTTGGCTGAGGCAGGAGAATCATTTGAGACCAGCCTGGACAACATAGTGAGACTCCGTCTCAAAATATCATAGTATGGGCCATTGTAGTATGGGATAGTTAACTGAGTTTGAAATTTTAGAGGAACATTAAAATTTTTTGAAAATTTCAATTCTTAGAAAATTAATCTCTATATTCTTAAGAGAGATTGTTGGACGCATAGAGGAGTTACTTCGGTGTCTCATTTGTTTCTTAGTCACTTTTCTTGAGACAGTAAAAGGTAGTGACTAGTGTTGTAGGTGAGCTGTTCTGTCTTCTGTTCAGCCCACAGGGTGTTTCCTCAGTCTTTAATTTTTTTCAGGGTTTTTTTTTTTTTTTTTCATTTAGAGCTATGGTTTTCAAACTTTTTGTTGTAGCTGCAACATCTCCCCGTCCCCAACTGAATCTGCCAGCATAGAAGAGGGATAAAAGCAGAGTTGTGTTGGGTAAAGATGTGGGGTGGCATGGAGTCTGTTCTCTGGTGGCAGGCCTGCACCCATCCTGTTGAGGGTGCCACCCTGCTTGGTTGTATGGAACATATTTGAGAAACACTGATTTGGAAATAGGGGCTACTTTCACTAAGATCCAAATTGACTACCTATAGGCCTCGTGGTGCAGGCCTGTTAGCTCAGGTGTTCAGGAGGCTGGTATAGGAGGATCCCAGATTCGAGGCCAGCCATCACAAAATATAGAAGGCTGATGAAAGACAGCCCTCAGTATCTGGTGGAGAAAAAATACATCCAAATTTGCTGTTGTGAAATTCGATATGATTTCTCAGGTCACTAGAGGTTTGTTTGTTTGTTCTGACATGGGATCTGGCCTCAAACTCGTGGTCCTTCCCTCAGCCTCCAGAACATTTGGGCTAACAAGTGTTCATTGCTGCTTCCAGCTTTAACAAAAAGTCCTGTTGTTTGGTATTTAGTGGCTGTGTAATTTCACTTATATTTTGGGTTTTGAGTTGGTGAATTTTTCCTGCCCTAATTTTTTTGTGCCTTCAGTGTCATATTGTGTAAGTTTATGGAAGTTAATACGACTCTGACTTACATTAGAAGTTGGAAATTGTCAGTTACCTATTTAGACAGTGTTATAATGACATTAATGTGTAATGTAGCTCTAGTGATTTAATGAGGTCAGTTAAGTCATACTGAAACTTTTAGTTTCTTTTTTCCTAATATAATTTTGAATCTGTACTATATATTTTTAAAACTGCAAATATTATTTCATCATCTCAGACCACAGCACTAGAGTTCTAATTATTAACAATAGAGTCTAGAAACTAAAAGATAATAAAATGAAAGTGATTTTTCTTGGAGATTTTTGTATAAATTCTGATTGGAGGTAGTTCATGAATACCCCAAAGTTTATAGAATTGGATCTTTTCTGTCACAATGTCACAACATCTTTAAGTTGAGTAGTGGTATAAAGTATTTAGTAGTAATGATAATCTAAACCAGTAAATTTTAATTATTAATATATTTTGCAGTGCAGTTAGAGAATCGCTGCCTTTAACTTTCATACAAGTTAATTGATGGAATAGTGTTCAGAACATAATATTTCTGTATTCTTTGTACTTAACACTAAAGGTATAAAAATATACATAATGATAAACCGAAGTTAAATATGTTCATGAGTTTCAATTTAGAATGTACACTTATTTAATTTTGATTTTTAAGTAAGTACTTATCTTTTAAAGTTCTTATCTTTAGCTGACTTAAGAGGACTATTGCTGCATTATTCACTAGGGAAAGTGCTCTTAGGAGAGGAGGAAGCCTTGGAGGATGACTCCGAATCGAGGTCAGACGCCAGCAGCTCGGCCTTTGCAGGTAGTGAGCGGCTGCTGTCACTCTTGCTCAAGTCCTGTTCCCCACCTCTGCCCCATACCTCAGCCAGCAGACAGAACTAGGGGACTGCAGGGGAGCCAGCCTGCATTCAGCCCCTTTTGTCCCGTGACTCTAAAGGGTTGTGTGTGTGTGTTTCCCTGGGTGTAGGCTGTTTGCATCTGCTGAGTCGGGTGGTAAGTGGGGCTGTCTTCTGCATGGGATGAATGACAGCCAGGGGAATGGCATGGAGCATTGCCCACAGACACTCTTGCTCCTTTTATGAAGAGTTATCTGATTAAGTTATCTGTGGACTTTATGAAAGACGAGCAGTAACTTCAGACACTAATGTCTGGGTTAAATTAGGGTAGTTTGGGTTGTATGAGCCTATCCAAAAGAACATTTTTAGGTAAATGAAAATAAGCCATGATATCTGGGGAAGAATATGGGCATAATACCAGTGGTAATTATTTATCCTTTATCATGCAAAATACAAATAGACTTTTTTCTTAATTGAAAAGCTAAAACATAATCAACAGAAAATTCCAGCCTCCTGGGCAGTGTGGAGATCAAGTGCTTGGACTCAGTTGTCCTCTAGAGTGGTCACTGCCCACAGCTTCTGATGGCTGTTGTGAAGTGGTTTTTATACAGTGTTTTTTTTTTTTTTTTTTTTTTTTTTTTTTTTTTTTTTTTTTAGTGCTTTTATTTTCTTATGGGAAATTCAAAATGAAACTAGGAAAATGTGGTGTATATTTGTCCTGCAGGAGAATAGGGCTGGATTAGAGATCTTGAACAGGGAGTGGAATAAGGCAAGTGTACACCAAGGAGACCATGAATTTGCCCATTTCTGACAGTACATGTGTAAAGCCCCTGGGTATTTGTACTTGCCCAGTTTGTGCCCGCCCCCTACCGGGCTGCCTCTGCCTAATTGTATGTTGCTCTAGCCATGGCTTGAGTGGTTACTTAAGAACTTGAACTTTGGGTTTGGCGGTGAAACCCCATTTGAGAATATTCATAGCATTTAAAAACTCTGTAGGTTACCCTTACCTTACTGCTGTAGATACTGTTGTCTGATTTGAAGGATGCACTCTGAAATTAGAACATTTGATGACACTGAACTTTCTGTTACACTGCATACTTTCTTTCATGGATGTTTGTGTGGCCATCTGACCGCTGGGCCTTTCTTTATCTCCAGCCTCTGTGAAAGGGGAGATCAGTGGAGAGCTGGCAGCCTCCTCGGGGGTCTCCACACCTGGGTCTGTGGGTCATGACATCATCACCGAGCAGCCCCGGTCACAGCATACGCTGCAGGCAGACTCAGTGGATCTGTCCGGCTGTGACTTGACCAGCACCGCCACTGATGGGGATGAAGAGGACATCCTGAGCCACAGTTCCAGCCAAATCAGTGCTGTCCCATCCGACCCTGCTATGGACCTGAATGATGGGACCCAAGCCTCCTCACCCATCAGTGACAGCTCCCAGACCACCACCGAAGGGCCCGATTCAGCTGTGACCCCTTCTGACAGCTCTGAGATCGTAAGTGGGTAAGGGGGCCCAGTGTTCTGCAGAGAGGCCTGCTATCTTCCTGAGCTCTTCCCGAGGCCCAGACCTATGCCCTCCTGCTTATTTTTCCTCTTCCTTTATGATCCTGCTAATCTCAGTGAGAGGTCACCAGCTCAGACCATTAGTAGAGAACCTGGCCTGCTCTGATACCTTTGCTGCAGGAAACAGCCTAGTTAGTGTCTTTCATGTTGAAAATGATGCCAAAAGTGAGGTGAGTTGGTTTCTGTTAACTGAGTACATGGAACATTCTTTGAGGCTTTGTGGGGCCTTGGTTATTGGAAATGTCCTTAAGGAGCCTTCATACAGATCTGTGGCCTTAATACTATACTTTAGTGTTTTGGGGGTTTTTTTGGTACCAGGGATTGAACTCAGAACCTTGTACTTGCCAGGCTGGCACTTATGCCACTGAGCTATATTCCCAGCCCTACTTTAGTGTTTTAAACACATTTAGACTTTCTAAAAACATCTACAATGTATTTATCCCATTTAAAACTGCATGGACCTGCTACCAAAAAAAAAAAGACTCGGTACCAAAAAAAAAAAAAGAAAAGACTAAAACAGCATGGATTTCAGTCCCTCTGATCTGAGTGGACAGGATACACCCTAAGAGTTGTCTTGTCAGAAAGTCTGATGCAAGTATATGCTGAGAGGGGCTGGGGATTTAGCTCAGCGGCAAAAGCGCCTGCCTGGCAAGCGCAAGGTCGTGAGTTCGGTTCCTGGTACCGGAGAAAAACAAAAAAAACAAACAAACAAGCAAGTATATGCTGAGTTTTATTCTCCATATTTTTTTTTATTGTTGTAAAATATATATAACATAAATTTGGACATCCTAACCAGTGTGTGTGTGTGTGGGGGGGGGGGTACTGGGGATTGAATCCAGGGATTTTGCATGCTAGGTAAGTGCTCTATCAGTGAGATACATTACCCCTTTTTAAATTTATTTTATGACGGTCTCACTAAGTTGCTCAGGCTGGCCTTGAACTTGTGATTCTCCTACCTGAGCCTTCTCAGTAGCTGGTATTATAGGTATACACCATTGCAGCCAGCTGGTAACCATTTTTAAGTGTTTGGTTCAGTGTTATTGTTACAGGCAGCTGAGTTAGATAGAAATATTGTAGGCAGACAGCGCCAGGCCCTCGAAGGAGCCAACATGAAAGACAAGATAAGATACCTGTGGGCCAGACCTCAAGACAAAGGACTAAACAAATGCACCCACATACCTCCCTAGGTGTGAACATCAGGGATTGATATTCTAAATAAGTAACAACCACCTTCGAAAAGCCAGAAAGAGTCACTAGCCCAACACCCTACACGAAAAGCCCCCGTTCTGTATTCATCCCCCGCTTGCTACGTGACTCGCTTCCCCATTTGATCCCAGTTTACTCAATTTTACCTGAACTATTATACTTGTAATCTTATTGGCTGACCATAGTTTTGTCCCACCTCATGCCCACCTTGTAATTTCCCATTTTCCCCCTATCTTGGACCCACCTCATCTCAGGGTTTTGCTCTATAAAGTCTCTGGAAAGGGCAAGGTCCTTGGCAACCCACTCGGGCCCCCTTCTGTCCCTTTCTTGGACAGAAGCTTTCTTTCCCCCAATAAATATACTCTGCTCTTAACCTCCACTGTTCCTAAAATTCATTCTTCAATTTTGGAGAACACGAACTCGTCCCAGATGTCTATGTTGCTATTCACCTACAATCTTGTTTTGAAATTTTACACCATTGTTTTTATT